AAGCAACAAGATGCACAATAAAAGAAAATGTATTACTCTCTACTCTACCCTATGTACACACTACTCTATGTCCCCAACACCCAAGTCACAAAGCCATTACCTGGTTGAGCTGTTGTTGCTGTCATGAGGGCTCGCTGCAGCTCCTCCACCTGCTTCAAACGCTCCTCCTTCTTCGCCTCCAGGCTCTTCTCTTTCTCCTCCAGTCTTGCTTTCTCCTTCTTATCTTCTTCATCTAGCTCTTTCCTGCGTCTCCTCAGCTTCTTCAGTAGCAGCCCCTCGTCCTCTCCTTCGTTAAACGCCTCCAACGCTGCCTCCGCCTTCACTAGCCTCTCCTCCGCCTTCACCAACTCTTGTCTTACTTCTTCAGCTGTTGCCATTTCTTTTTTTTTTCTTTAGAAAGAGAAGATGTGCTGCACGCGATGTGATCTAATACCGTAATATACTAGTGGCTTAATCTATGACGTAATTATTACGATCTTTCACGATTGTCCATTGTATGCAGAATGACCAATGATAATTGATATGCAGAAACACGCTTTTCGTCTATTTAAACATCATGAATAAACGATTTATTATCAGCACTAGTGGCTTATTTTTCAGAAAAAACAACCACAACTCAACATAAAAAATCAGACCTAACAATTTCCATCAATAACGCTTTGCGAAAAATGTTTACAAGCAAATTCTTCATTGGAGTATCTTACTAGACTATACTGTATGTTGTTATCCTCACTATCACGCGTATGTAATAATATTGTTAAATTATGAAATTATGTTTCTTGCCAAACATTATTCAAGCCATTATGAGAAGAACGGTATCTATTTCTCAACGAATACGAAAGCAAGTATTCTTTATTGCCAAAAATCACGATTGCTATATAACACATTAAAAATTATGTGCGCTTTGCTTTATTGGAAACCGCACTCGCTTGTTTTCGATCGATGCTAAGAGGATCTGTCTATTCTTCCTTTCATATATGTTTATAATGTTAAATTCTCGAGAAGCTAAGCTATAAGCTAACATGTGCTTTATGTCAATTTTCCCCCCAAAACAATGCAACAAATACGCAAACGTCTAAGTTGCATTTCCCAATGTTAACATAATGTTCTCACCACCCTTTTCTCGTCTTTCTCGCTCGCTTCGTTTTCATTCACATCAATTGCATTTGTATAAAAAGTTTCACCAAAAAGGTCTCCGGATCAATGTCTTGTGAAAGGAAATGTTAGAAGAAAGGTTGCGAGAAAGTATCGAATATGAGGATCCACGTTCTAATTACGTACCTGCTGGAGCGGAAGTCGGCAACTCTTCAAGCTGATCAAATAGAGCGTTTTTTTATTTTCTGAAACTTTGACAGAGATTTTGTTAACAGGTTACTTTCAATCATAATTAGCAATGCACTCTTTGCATTAGAGAAACTTACATAATAATAAACCAGCATTTTGACGGCAGTGAATCAAGAGTTAGTCGACAAAAAGAAGATGGCTCAATAAAAATTACAGAGGTCGAGTCATGATTTACCCAAAATGGGAAGGATTATTGATAGCTCAATTTGAAGTTCAAGGAATCTTTTAGTAGTCTAACCACGTTTTCAGACAAAATTGGGACATCAGGAAAACCTTGTTTCAGTCAGGTTCAGGGTTGTTGGAAGGGTGGAGTTGGAAGAGGGGTCAAAAGAGTGAATCTCAGTCACGTCGCTGATTATGAAAAACGATAGTTTTAAGAGTTTGTAATGTATCAGAGAATAAAATATTAATATAATTATACAACTGTATATGGAGAATTCGCTATATTAGTTAGGTTCATTTGCGCCTACATACCTATTGTACAATATTTACTCGATTATTATTCCCTTCCAGGTCAATTTATAAAACAGTCTTTGTCCTTATTATGGTGGCCCTCACCAGTTTATCGTCCCTACCGAATATCAAATTTCAATTACCAAAATAGTCAGGGATGGATTTAGTGAAGGAGCGATGAACCATCTTACCCTTTAGAAGGGGTGATACCATATATGGTAAATCAGTATTTCATAGCCATTTTGAGAGTACTTGTGCACATTATGTAAATAGTTTTAACAGATCAGTTCGATAATATAAAACATTTCAACCTATCTAGAGATAACATATTCCTCATTTAACGTTGTAAATAGAGAAATACTAAAAACCTAAATATCAGTTTGAGCAAAAAACGAAATTGACCAATCATTCGCTAACGTCTAGTAAGCTTATATTTAATATTAAAACACAGTTACATTTGGATACTGTTACTCGTATCAATCCTCCAGACTCTGACACTAGGCATCGCATAACTTCGGGATTCTGACAAAATGTGGCTGTGTTATTTGCGATAAAATTTACATTGTTATTGTTTATGTCTTACTTGGCAAAAGCTAATGAGCACCATCATCCAATTTCCAAAGGCGATGAGTTACCTATGACACGAACAGAGGGAATAGTCGACTCCAGAACAATGTCACCGATTTGTCGCGTGCTCATTCTACTAGATCATACTTATTTTTGCTATCACTTTAGTATGGAGAGGATTTATAATTTCTTGTATAAATAATGAGAAATATCCTACTCTCTGCAAGAAATAGGAAAGGAAAGAACGTTCAATAAACTTGGTATAACATTAATTAAACGGGCATGTTAATAGTTTTCATTTTCTTCTTCGAGCGAAGATGATAATAAATTTTTCCTACAATAATTTATGTTTACCTCTCTAACTATTACTGCCTTTACGTTACTTAGCCACGATAGTAATGACACATATGAGAATTATAGTCGTTACATAGCTTTTGCGTGCGTGATTCGCGAGATGTTTGGTCAACTTACATTGTTATAATTAAAATTATAAGTTGATTGTCAACGTCTCCTGCAAATACGTTAATAAGACACAGTCTATGGATCCAAAGTACAGTGACATCTCTATAAATGCAACCCCCATATGCAATCCTCCCTAAATGCAACATGTTTGCTCGGTAACCCGACACACGTCGTACAGACTCTAATGTTATTCCTTTGTTGGACGCCCTATGTTTCTGTCCGTAAATAGAAATATTGATTATCAGCCGGAGAGAATATATCCTGTGCAACAGAAACGTTGTATATTATCTTCGATTTAGTATTGGAATCTAAAATCATAACAGTAAACTTACGCTAATTTCTACGCAAGTCCAAGTTGTTCTAAGTACAAGTATATTTATTCTACAAATATTGAAACGAAAAGATAGCCTATTATAACGACGCAACAAAATTTACGTATGTCGGATTCTCACTATTATTTCACGTGTACTTCCTCTAACATAAAAGATGTTACCACTAATGACGACTATTATTTAAAGTTGTTATCGTCTATATCGATAATAATAGCAATCGATTATCCTTGCCCATGTGATAATGCGAGACTATTAGTGTATTATCTTGTTTATGTAAAATAGAAGGATTATAAACTCGCTTAACGTTGATACTATTCTCCAAATCATTCTACAACGAAAATTACAGCATTAAAATAATTTTAATAGATTCAGTTTTTTCTTGACACAAATTGTTCTGATTTTATTTGCCAAACAAATAAAAGCTCGATACGTATACATTTTTTTGATAAACAAGTTTAGTTCAACAAATTAAGTAATAATTGACATTGACAGAATATGAATAACTGGAGTGACAAGCAAGGACCAAATAGTATTCTTCACATTCCCAAAACTCATTGCTGATCTGGAGCAATCGCTCTTCTCACACAGTCTTGGCCCGTTTGGCCATTTTAGCCATTTTAGCCGTCTTGGCAAACCCAGCCTGGGGAAGGGGAGATCGTTTCTTGGCTTTCGCCGATTTTGCGTTTGCTGCAAAGATGGAATTAATAATATAAATGTAAGAAAAAGAATCAAGTAAAAATGTATCTGTGTAAATGTCTTAACTCAGCACCAACAGTCTATTTAGTCAATTACAGTATCACTATCCATAAAATCTTCGCTACTATTACGGCAATGCTTACCTTGTACGACTCCCGATTCGAGAAGTGCTGCAATGATGACGAGTATAAACAAAAACTTAACAACCGTAAACTTCATGTTTGATTTTCTGACGTGCTTTATTTAAGCTTTGTATTTGACAGTTTGATGGCAAATCTCAATCCACCAGATTGTTTTACTCACATTACTTATATACTACATACAGAGTTGTTATTTTTATTTCGTGTGCGACTCACATGACAAAAAAAGAAGGGGGATGGGCTGAAACTTTGTGTAATGTAATGTGCCAATTATTAAATGATTTAGATTCATCAAATAATCGACGGTTACGACCTCACTTGTTTGTAACATTCCTGTTGTACTGTAATCATTGCGTCATATATTTTGATGGTCTCAGTTTTAGATTTCAACAAGCGGTTTTTATCTATTGAAATTGATATTCCTCATTGTAGCATCTGATTGTGATGATAATGTCCAATATTTGACATTCAAAACGTCTGGTCCCATCATCGTCAGGTGTATTAAATCGGCAATACTATTTTTCATGTGGTTGACTCACGATTATGCATCTCCCTTATGTAAAATTTTTTCTATTTGGTACACACAGTATCTTATGATAACAACAATTTTATCCGTACATCTTTTTTTTCTTCATCTATGATGGTATAACAGAATTCGTTAATTAAACTCCTTTTAGTTGTTGTTCGCTAATGGGTAAAATGACGTACTCATTATACGTAGTAGAGACTGGAGGCGAAAAGTAAAACGAAACTAGTACGTAAAATCGAGAACGGACTGGGCAGAAGGCTAATCGTAAATAGTAATGGCAGTAGTAATATTGGTATCTTAAAGATAACGTAACGGTAAGATGATGAAATCTGCCCGACTTTAGGCAGCTTTCGCAATTGGACGAGACACGTGAAACTTTGCAGATACAATATCATCTATTAATGATTTATGCTAATTAACGCCTATACACATGAATGCTGCTTGCAAGTATACTTTTTTGTCGATAACACATTGACCACAATCTTTAGATAAAGCAAAGTGGCTAAAAATTGTCACCTTACACGACCTGATCAGTTCACATGTGATGTAAATAAGGGGTAAGAATAAGAATACAAACAGTAACGGTAACGCTCTGCCGAGAATCTCTTGTTTACGTGTTTTTGTAAATGATCTTGGACGGAAAAATTATATAGACCATCTAGGAGAGGTTCATTTTTTGTCACCTAAAGGTGCATGACTATCTTGCCAAGATTGAGAAGAAGAAACATGGATCTGTAGCCTTGCCGTATTACGGTCGTTGTACTTTAAGTAAAGCATATCGCTGAAATATCGCATTTGCATCAATATAACGCATCTCTTTTTTTTTGTTAAGTACATACGCATCAACCATATATTACAAATATTGCGCCAGTCATCATCTATTGTGAAACTAAAATTTTTTATTTCTCTCTATATCAGTTGATAGTTAGGATATTCTCGAATAATAATAATTTTGCAGATGTGGGAATACTAATTTTATTCATGAATAATGTCAATAATCATGAGACACAATGGTAGCTGTTATATCTAACATATTGTTGTCCAGTTCTTTTATGTCTCCATTATTAATACTACGTTTTACTTACAAGTATAAAAGGCAAGCAAAACCCAATTTGAATGATCTATTGCCCAAGTTAGACAACATTTCAGCTGTTACCCTGCAAATAATTATAATTTCGGATACTGATCAATATTTATAGAAGTCAAATGTCACTCATTCGTTCACTGACTTTCAATTTGTTGGTCTTCTTGTAGTATTGACCAATAAATGATTAAATAAATTTTCATTTATGTTAGTTGTCAGGCCTGGCCGACAACAACGATGAGAACAGCATTACAATATGTCCGTTCGATACGTAGAAACACATCACCTTTGTAACTTAACAAACGCAATTACTATTAATTGAGAAACGCGCGTAGATTATTAGTTTAATCCCGCTGATAGAAATAATGATGGCATTCGAAATCAAATAGTAATCAAACTTTAACCTCGTTTTTCAAATAAAAAGTATCAATTATACCTTGATCGGAAGTAACATTTTAATGTTTTGTGACCGGACTATGCTAGGTTTGGTTTGCAAAACTAGTGTGATTTTTTGCTATTAAATTAAAATTGCCAAGACTAACTCATAGTTTAAATAGAATGTGTCGTTCGGAAATTGTAACTAACATTTTGCTTTTGCCGACGATACGGCTCCTGAATTAACGTGGCAAGACCTTTGATTATCAATAATTTTAATTTTACATTAATGTATTTTTTTTAAACTAGATATATTAAATATTCTCAAAACAGCAATTTGTAAACAACATTATTGATTTTATTAAAAGTCCCTCTCTATTTCAATGCCACTTTAGATATTTATAATCTCTACTGTGTATGTATACAAATGCTAAATAACCGAGAAAACCTATTATACAAATATTATTTACATTCAGCTACGGTAAAACTTCTATTCAATGGTTTTCTCAATAACTATAGATAACAATGTCACTCTTTGATAGTATATAAATTGCACGAAAAGACATTTAGTACATACAAAACTGCATGTGCCTTTATCCAATATTTCTAGTGCTATCAATAACTGTGATAAAAAAATACCATAAAAAAATACCATAAACTGTAATCATTAGTATCGTAGATACCCCAAAGTCCGCATATATAATATATTTTTTTGATTAGTAAATTAAACAGTCTAAACCATAAATATATTCGCTATTTCTTCAAAGGACACTAAGTACAAGAGCAAAATTGTCCTACGTGTCTCGTTTCAATACTTTGTTAAAGAACGAACCCATTTTTTTTCGAGTTGTTGCAGAAAACCAACGTGGTCCTTCTTCCAAATAAGATGTATCTAGCACATAGCTTCGAATTACTTCCTTGAGTTCGGAGACGTCATTTCCAAGTTGCTTTATTTGCAAATCAAGGTCAGCTTGAGAATTATTATCATTGTTGGAAAGGTTGTCTTGAGAAGATGAACGAAAGAGTGATGTGCCTACAAGCTCTGGTGATTCTTTCGAGAACTTGTGTGCAATGCCCCACACATCCATACGCGATTGACCAAAGAACAATACATAAGCGCCTCCAATTATGCCTAATTTGGTTGTGAGGGGAAAAAACTGGTTAAATTTATGATTTTAAGTAATAAAACACAGTTTAAAAAAAAATACCGACCAAAAGCACCGCCAGCTGATGCAATGGCACTGAGAACGGTAATTGTTCTGTATAAGCATTAATTACAAGATTGAAGAATTAAAACTTTTTGTTGATTATTAGTATAATTTGACGTAAACAAATATTAATTAGTTTACCGTTCTTCAGATTCTTGTTTCTGGACAAAACTTCCAGCCGCTACAGAGAAATATACATTTGTTCCATTCGCCAAACCATACGGATTGCTGTTGAATGGGAAGTATGTCACAGTGTTTTCTATTATCGGAGTACTGTGATAGTTTGCTCCAAATCTTGAAATTAGAAACGACAAATTATTTACTAAATTAAAGTGCTACAAGTCAAAAACTAGTTAAAACATTAATCAGTATTTACCCCATAATAGCAGAAATGTCCCTTGGCAGAATAGCCCTGTATTCGTTTATTCTAAATTTAATCTAAAGCATCGAAAATTAGTATTAAAATTCAGCGTAATTGAATGCAAACCGGATTATAAAAGATAAAAGTCTTACCACTGCAGCGTAGTCCACCATGCCTGCAAGAAAATTCCATTCAAGCGTCATTTCCGATTTGGCGTCTTCGTCCATTTGATTAACAACTTCTTCCGGATGTGTTAGTGGATTAAAATTAGGTGACGTCAGCAACATATTGAGAGCAGCTATCCCGATAGCACTCTGTTCTGCAGCGGTCACATTTGGAATTTGGAGATAAACACCGATTTTTGTCACGCCTTCGTCAGACTCGTAAGGGTGAGCGAACTTGAGAGTTTGGTTTGTTGTAAAGGTCTGACAATAATCCCGAAAATTACCCAAGTCGGCTGGAGCAGGAACGATATAGTCTCCACAATTATCAATTTGAGTCTTTGTGCGGTTTTTCCAGACAAAATCGCAGCGCAATATGTTCATTTCATGACTTCCACAAATTAATATATCTGTTTGATGAAATTGGGTTTAGTTGCTATGTGAATTATTCATTCCTAGTATGGAATATGCAACGATTAATGTTAATAATACAAACCAGGAACATCTATCTCTTTCAGAAAATTATGTTCTGTTTTTAATATGTAAGTGTCGGTAACAAGGTTGTGTATTAAATACACTATGTATGCAAGATAAAAGAATGGAACCAGCCAGTAAGCATAACGCCGAACAGTGTGAATTCGTTTTGGTTCACGTTCAACCTGTTGGCTTTTGGAATCCATGGATGGACTACGGTCGGAGACAACAATCTTAACACGTTTAGATCGAGAGTCATATTTATATTGGTTGGTAATTACATTCGGGACGGGAATACAAATTTCCTTCTTACTTAAACAAACCAGAAATAAAGTTATTATTATGATATGTGTAATTGTCTTGGGGGTTTGAGTGATTAATAAAATGGCATCTCAACCAACCACAAGGGCTTGTTACTAAGGCCAATTACCTAAATAGTGTTGTATAATACAAGGGCATATCACTAATTTTCTTGTGCTTCCAAAAACCGGCTTTTGTTCCTTGTCCATCTGTAACGTTAGTAAGTAGTTTTCGATCACACGTTTTGAAGTAAAATATAAAACAATTACTCCACATGCATGCAAGTATTTAATGCGCATTGAACATGTTTTTGAACAATTCCATGGCGAAATTTTTAATTGCCGTAACAATCCACCAAACGCAAGCTCGGACGTACTACATGTAATAAATCTCACCACTTTGTTCACAGCAATCGTTGAGGCAGAGTTAAGCGTTTGTCTGGCCACAATTGGAAGAAATGGGAAAAAAAATCATGTAAATTTAAAGCAAGGTGTGTTGATAAACGACTCTGCTTGCATAACTTATATCACGTAAAATGGCATACTCTACTATATGTAATATGTTTTATTGTATACGTCTGTTCAACTCTTGTACCAGCATCTACATAGAATGTCGTTAACTATACAGTGGATGCCAAGCGGCTTTTTAATATAGTGCGGTAATGGAAAAAACATGGATTTATTTATCTTAAAGCTTTTTTCGTCGTTCTTTAGTCATACAATTGATAATTATAAAGACATAAACGAACGAATTTCCTGCAGAATAGAAGATTGACAAAGATTTCCTTGTAATCGCTATAAATAATTGATCTACCAATTAAATCTCTGACAAGGGTTAATTGCTTATATTGGATCATCAGATAAATATGGCAAGTCGTGACACGGTGCCACCGATTGGGTTGTTGGTTGTTTCTTTTGTTTGGGATTCAGTAACCATTGTTTTTTTCGTGGAACATACATTCAGATTCCAGTCGTACGTAAATTATTAATGTACCACATACCCGTTCTTTGTTAAAATTAGAAACATAAGATACTCCCTATACTGATAACATAAACATTCACAAGAAAAAAAAAGTTGCGTGTGACATGTATTGATGTCGATATCAGCTCTGAAATTCAATAAGTCTTGTTATTGCCTAGATTCGTAGACTTATAATTGACGGTAACGCACCATGACTTGATTAATATGTGGAGATAATGGCCCAAAAATATGGTTGACAGTTTTTGTCTTATGGTGACGGAGGTAAATAATAACCAAACTTCTATTAAAATTATTGCAACAGGCATAGTTAACCACTACCCCTCATGTCTTTGTCGAGTCATAGGCAGCACGTCTCATCATTAACCACAAATAGCTACAACGTTATATCAATGGAACTATTGTATGTATGGTTTGCATAACTAATATCCATTATTTAATAAACGAGTCTTCCATATAAGATAAAATAATAACTCTATATACAACTAATAAATAAATTGGCGTATAAAGCGGAAAATCGATGCTGGCGGTTCCATATTTTAAGTATTATATAAAAGCTAAGCGATTAGTACTAGCCGGTTCGTTTCAATATTTGAAATCTTGTGCGTGTATTTGATACAAAAAGTTCGTATAGCCGTGCCTTGTGAGTACACAATCAATATATATCAGTCAAGTTTGTTCCTCTCGGTCATACTGCGAGACCTTCACAAACATTTATTCAACCGCTTTGTTTCAAAAATGCGGGATAAACAAATCCGTATCGCATAATTGGTTTGGATTTAGCTGCCTGGAAAATTTTTTCTGTTACAGTTCGATAAGTGAGGCTTTATTTTCACATCAAGTTAAACGCTTGAAGATGAACGTCTTAGGGTTTTCGTCAGACTATTTGATACTGGAAACTATACGGATATTTCAACTTCTGTTGTGTTGGAAGAGAGTCAAACAACAAGATATTTTGAGCTTATTTCTTGGTACTGCAAACGCGAAGCACATACTTTCAAAGCAAGTTAGCTGACAATAAAGATGCATCTAATGCAATTGAACAACCAGCCATGGTCTTCGTAATAATAATAGTAATAAGAGCGCTTACGGAATAATGACTTCCCGTAATTGTAAGCTGTCTGTACAATAATACGTGTTCTCACTACTTATACTCACGCAACTATATTTATCTATACAGGAAAAGTGTCTTTTGATTCACACAATAATGAGGTACCCTGGATTGCTCTTTTGGAAAAAACAAGAAGTTTGAATTAGACACTGTCTGTGCTGCAGTTGAAGATTATTTGATCAGGCAACACAAGAGTTTACAGTTTATAACTATGCTTTATCCTCAAACTTACTACAGAGACTTGTAGATTATTGCCAATAAATTATATCATTATTCCCAGATGTCATCCTCAACTCTGATGATTTGATGGACTTGCGTTTATTGCTCTCCTTAAAAATAATGAGCTTAAAATAGACGAAATTTATGTTTGGAAGTCAGCTGTAAAATGGGCCGTTGGACAAGTTTCTGGACTTGCAAATAATCCAAGTGATTAGTCATCTAATAATATTACCCTCGATATAATGAAGATATATAGTAAGTCCTATCATTTATTATTATTTTTATTTACTGAAAAATATAATGTTGGTCTGTTAACTATCGACAAAAGATAGCTTCGAAGTAATCGTCGGCGAAATGAACGTGATTGTCGCGGCCACTCTTGTAATGCAATGTTGATTTTAATAGCGTAACGCTACAAATCACATGTCACAATTGGCTAATCGCAACTGAAATTTTTATTCTTATCTCTCTGAATCTTCCAAAAACGGTCGTAGGGATTTGATTTCTCCGCTTTTCAACTAGTCATCTTGGCTATTTGGTTGCAATTTGCGTTTCCTTATATATCCATAAAGCGTTAAACCATGATTCAGCACTGATAGCTCAGCCATTTGCTTTACTTGATTCCAACATTTCTGATAGCATCCTTAGACTGTTTGCGTTTATTTGATTTTAGCGTTATATATTACAATTCTGTCGTTATAATAGTCATATTCAGACTAATCATTCAAGCTGCAGGAGGGTGATACTCTACGGGCTAATCTTTACTTTTCGGTAGACTTTATCTGTGACAACCTTTTGATTACTACAGGGGTATTTCTGAAGAGCCGTATCACTTTAAGAATTCATTTTGAGTGTGAGTTGTATTCTGAAAATTATAAACTTACTCTACTTTAGACAAAGTAGAGATGGTAGTCAGTTAAAAGATAAGACCCAAAATTGCTGTTGGAAAATGTTGGGTACTGAAGATATAACCTAAACATAGGGGAGATAATTGCATTGAAACTAAAGAAGCTTTTATATTCAAATTATATAGAAACGTAGATAACAGTATTAGTATAGTAAGTTTGTTGATAGGAATGAAGGTTCACATGTCATTATGATTATTGTAATCACTGTATTTCTCCTACGGGTATTCCCCTTGGTCGTTTTAGTATCGTGTAGGGGAGGTACATCGTATTGATATGGGTCGGGGGTGGTTTTTTTTGGCACGTTATTAGTAGGGTACAAGTCACAGGAGTATATATGCCGGAGGAATATCATAACTAATACCAGGGTAGAGATCAAAATTTGGCGTTCAAAATTGCTACTCACGGGTCGAAGAAATACGGTATTTTCTTGTATTTGGTCAAGGTTAATAATTGGTACTGGTTTCGATGGGCTGATTGAAATTTTCCTAGTTTCTAAATATCAAGTTTGTGAGTTGAAGTTGGTATTTATAAATGCAGTCTATTACAAAGCATAAAATATTACATACAAAATCTCTGGTTTTGTTTGCTGAACACTTGAACCATTTACAGATATGCATGTCGTTAGTAATCTGTATAAAAAACTTTATAGCTACTGGATTTTCAACAGTTTGTGTTATCGAAGTAATGTACAAAAGGTTCACATGTTATATTTTCTTTTCCACTCACTATTTTTCTCCTTTCAGAAAATTGAACCCGAAGATAATGCTGGTACGTCGTATACATGATGCATCAAAGAACTGTTCCATGCATTCCATCAACAGGTAAATGGTCTGACGGCATCCCGTATTAACTAATGATAACATAAATAACTTTTAGTTTTATTATCTATGTATTTGGCTTTTCTAATGTATCAGCTATTTATAATCGACAGCAACAGTTTAGAAACAATTTACTTAGCATACAGTATAATTATAACATTTTTTTGAATATGATTAATTTTATATAACTTACAGTAGATGTCATTTCAATCGATAACAAGTGTCGCCTAGGAGAACGTTTGTGTTACAAACTTGACCGGGGATATTCTCAAAATTTAACCCTAAGCGTGGTCTTGCTCACGCGCCCGTGTCAATTAAGGCATAACTAAAATTTGCAACGGCTCTTTATCTTTCCTATTGTCACGGTATAAACCTTACTCAAGTGCTTGCTAAACTATTACTAAATAAAATAAAATATTGCACAGACGTAAGCAATAGACACTTCCGTTCAGCAACACTCCGCACGATAATAGAACTATTATTAAAACAACAATAAATAATAATCAAAAAGTGGATTAATATAAAAGAGCAATACTTTTGGCGCGTCTATTTTCGGCCGATCCTAGCAAATGAGTCCAATTTAATAATCGTAGACGATAAATTTACTACATGGTCGTAATATTTTATTAATATGTACTGTTATGAAATAATTATCGTTGAATCAATCCATTATTCTTGAGGTACAGTATTACAACTGAACGCCTTATAACGTAATAGCATTACAGTATCTGAACAATTTAACACAACAATACCATACAACACACTTCAACGACAGAGTCTTTTAGGGCGTGTTTTGCACGAAGTTACTTTTGTGTTATCCATGCACGAATTCATAACGCAATTTATTGACGCTTTGTACCACTACCCAATTTGCGTGTCCGTTCATTAACATTTCGTATTTTTAAATTGCGACGACGAAATCGAATGACAGCGTCATCGATATTCAAATCCATCAAGCGTAAAAATAGATTTACTGCTGCTTGGCGTGGCATTTATTCAATTTATAATCCGTTTAATAATAATCAGTTACAACATCTTAACTTGATTGAATAATAACAAGAAAAAAAAACATAAACCGAGAATAATGAATACTATAAAACATGTATAGTTGAAGCTTTGAGTCTTGATAAATTGAATCGAATAAAGTCAACTGAGAATTTTAAACAAGAATGGTTGAGTTGATATAACTAAAAGATTAAACCATCAACCGAATAAAAACAACGGAGTAAGTTTATCAATAGCATTTATATCATCCCAATTACTTGTTATAAGCAAAATCTCATTTGTGAAATTTAGGCCTTCAATATAAAGCTAATGGGTTAACTAATGAGCTTATCAACAGAAAACACCTCCCAATCAACCCATACAAATTTACCACTAGTAGACCTGATTGGAATTCGATAATTACTGTCATCTCTAGCGATAGGTGCATCATAAGTTCCGTCCCAGTAATTATAACCACCAAAAAATAAGGCATTATCCCCACCAAAATTGGGCAAAAAAGTCGGGTGTTCAAAAATAGCTTTATCTTCATTCTGAACAAAACATACTATGCTCTTCTCAATATCATCCTTATTCAGTGAAAATATAAAACTTTCTCCAGTTGAAACATATCCAGTATTACTAGTACCCCACGACAACGGGTTATATCCACCAAGTATTTCTTCTGTATCCTTTACTCTTCCTACAACAATTGTCGGTCCTTTCTTTGTACACATTTGCCGAAAATTTTTAGCTATTGTCTTCTTATTATTATCATTACTACCATCTCTGCTTTCTCGATAAAGCAAGGTCAGTTTATAAGGAGCAATTTGTTTACGGGCCGGATCTCGTTCAACTCGGTCATTTAGCGTCGACTCTGCGATTTTCTGTAAGATCCATGACGCTTGTTGTTTGTTAATGACAACTGAATCAACATCAGGTAGTTTCCTTTGTCCCTTCCTTTGTTGTAACATTTGCGTTTTGGGTTTATAGTTATTTTGCATATGATAACAAAGCAAATCAGATCGCAACTCTCTTGGAAATAGTTCAATGTATGGACCAACCATTTCACTAAATTCTTTAGCTGACATGTTAAAGAATCTAATATGAGGTATACATTCTGCTATTATTTCTCTGACTGCATTAACATCAGTAGATGACCAACTGGTTGGATTATCTGTAAGTCCAGCAATCTGGCTAACAGCCCATTGTACAGCTGACATCCAAACATCACCTTCATCCATATTAAGCTCATCGCTTTTAAGAAGGTTAATGAAGATCGGTTTTGGTAATTCCGCCATGTTATTGAATTTGAGAATGATATCTGGTGATGATAACATAAGCTGACTGCAATAATCTACAAGTCTCTGTAGAGAGTTTGTAGACATTGCGTAGTTATAAACTGTGAGAATGTTTTGTTTTATCCATTGCTCATGTTGTTTGATCAAATAATCTCCAATTGCAGTACAGAAAGTGTTTAACCCAAACTTATTAGCTCCTTTCAAAAGAACAACCCAAGATATACCTTCACATAAATGAGAAGGCACTTTTCCTGAGTAAACAAATCTATGAGCACAAATAAGTGTGAGTACTAATCAAGATGTAAGCATACATTAATGGCAAGGATAGTATAGTGGATAGATTCACTCAACTAACGTAGTGAATGAGACTTACCTAAGCAAAATTTCAAAAATATCAGGTTCAATGTCTTCGAACACCATCGCAGTTTGTTGAATTTCGTTAGAGGTCTCTGTATTTCCGGTTAGTTTGTCTTCAAAATATGCGCTTCTTGCGCATAATACCAAGGAATGAGCAAGAAATATCTTGCTGTTTGGCTCTCGACCGACATGAATTGAGATATCGGTATATTTTCCGCTTTCGTAAAGCTTTTCATAATCCAACGAAACATCAGAAAGTAATTCAATTACGCTACTCATTTTCAATTGGCAAGTAAGTTGGAAGCTTGATGTAAAAAAGGCAAGATATCTAGTTATGCAGTGTGTAACATAGTAAAGCAGATACTAATATTCAGAATACATGTTCCCCACAACTTGCGTCTGACACTTTTTTCCAGAAAATGTATGCGAACAATTAATACTGTCGAGCCAACTACCGCGGGAGAGCGTTCAATAATTGACATTTAGTGACCGTGTTTTTGGCTTTAATTATACTCGATTGCTAATTACTCTGCAGATATTTCTTTTACCCTAAATCGGTGGGATTAATAATCCGTAGGATGCAATGGGGGATATCTTACACTCAAGTATACGCGTATTCTAGTAACAATAGTTAACAATCGTTTTTGCCAATTACAAAATTGATGGACAAGATCAATTCTACACAACGACTCCAGAATCGCTGAAGTGGTTAGGATATTAATGTCCAATATATTTATATATCGTTTATTATATAAATGATAATCTAATAATAATACAAGTGCTAAGAAATGTTCGGATAAAGAACGGAATACACTGAAGAGCTTAAAAAACTACGACCGATTGTGTATCTTTAGATTGTTGCACTAAACTAATCAAATGGCAAGATTTTTCGATAAAACGGAAAACAAATTAATAATCGAATGGAATGGCTTATTTTCTTGCCACTGCCGCGTATGGCGCGAATTGCAGATTGAATAATAATAGCCCAATAATAAGTTTGGTTCCAAATTATTATTGATTTGGAAATCATATAACGCCGTCTGACACGTATTTCGTCATTCCGCACAGAATCATCTCCCTGATCAGCACTACTATGAATAACTTGGATCTCATATTACAAAAAAACATTTACTTACGTATGCGTGAAACGTCAAGTTCTAAGACAGTACGTAACAAGTAAGCGTCGCGCAAGCTTAGATCATATGATTGTATACATAGGCTTATCAAGTAGCTAGCTGTTAGTAAATAATAAAAGCCGTCTGGTTTTGTTTACTGAACACTCGTACTTTTAGGATATGCATATCCATATCCAATTCTTACTAATTTATTTATTTCAAGCGCGCGTGTTTCCAAATAATGTAAACAAAGGCTTATGCGTTTCCATGTATTTTATATGCTCTTTTCCATTCACCTTCTCTTCCCCACCCTTACTAATTATAGTTTAACAACAAGCTAACGATTAAACTGTGAGCTTATCGACAGAAAACACCTCCCAATCAACCCATGTAAATATATCTTCAGTAGACCTGATTGGAATTTGATAAACTCCGTACTTTTCAGCGATAGGTGCATAATAAGTTCCGTTCCAGTAACCACCAAAAAATAAGGAACTCCGACCAAAATTGGGCAAAGAATGCGGGTATTCGTTAATAGCATAGTTTTCATTTTTAACAAAACTTATTATACTCTTTTCAATATCATCCTTATTCAGTGAAAATATAAAACTTTCTCTAGTTGAGACATATTCATTATTACTAGTACCCCACGACAACGGGTTATATCCACCAAGTATTTCTTCTGTATCCTTTACTCCTCCTACAGCAATTGTCGGTCCTTTATTTGTACACATTCGCCGAAAATTTTTAGCTATTGTCTTCTTATCGTTACTACCATCCCTGCTTTCTCGATAAAGCAAGGTCAGCTTATAAGGAACAATTTGTTCACGGGCTGGACCTTGTACTCGTTCAACTCGGTTATTTTGTGTCGATTCTGCGATTTTCTGTAAGATCCATGACGCTTGTTGTTTGTTAATGACAACTGAATCAACATCAGGTAGTTTCCTTTGTCCCTTCCTTTGTGATAACATTCGCGTTTTTGGTTTATAGTTATTTTCCAGATAATAAGAAAGTAGATCAGATCGTAAACCTCCTGGTAATAATTCAATGTATGGAGCAACCTTTCCATTGAATACTTTAGCTGACATGTTAAAGAATCTAATATGAGGTATACATTCTGCTATTATGTCTTTGACTGCATAAACATCAGTAGGTGACCAATTGGTTGGATTATCTGTAAGTCCAGCAATCTGGCTAACAGCCCATTGTACAGCAGACATCCAAACATCACCTTCATCCATATTAAGCTCATCGCTCTTAAGAAGGTTAATGAAGATCGGTTTCGGTAAATCCGCTATATTATTGGGCTTGAGGATGATATCTGGAGATGATAACATAAGCTGGCTACAATAATCTACAAGTCTCTGTAGCGAGTTTGTAGACATTGCATAGTTATAAACTGTGAGAATGTTTTGTTTTATCCATTGCTCATGTTGTTTGATCAAATAATCTCCAATCGCAGTGCAGAAAGTGTTTAACCCAAGCTTGTTAGCTCCTTCCAAAAGAGTAATCCAAGATACACCCTCACATGAGCGGGTAGACACTTTTCCCGTGTAAATAAATCTACAAATGCAGAGAAATAGTTGTGAGTATCAATCAAATTACAAGCATGCGTTGCATAAACCGGTAACGGTAATAGACAATTCCCCATCATTACACCATAATCAGTTCACTGCTTGCAATCACAAATCGAGGCGAAGGCCAAGTCACAATACAGTTTGTAAATCGATGCACGTCAAATTTACCTAAGCAAAATTTCAAAAATATCAGGTGTCGTGTCTTCGAAAACCATGGCAGGTCGTTGAATTTCTTCTTCTGTATTTCCCGTTAGTGTGTTTTCAAAATATACGCTCCTTGTACATAGAACCAAGGAGTGAGCGAGAAAGATCTTATTGTTTGGTTCCCGGCCGACATGAATTGAGATGTCGGTATGTTTTCCGCTTTCATAAAGCTTTTCATAGTCCGACGAAACGTCAGAAAGTAATTCAACTATGTTGCTCATTTTCAGGTTAGTAAGTCTTTAACTGTTCAGCGGCCTAGACTAGATCATAATTTTATTGGCTGGCATACGAATATGGCGCAGCGCTGCTTAATGATACACTAGTAGTCGTGTGTATTACAGAAAAACCGCACAACTTTGCGATTTTCAGATCACTTTACTGTGAAATAGTTTATCAGACGAATTTTTTTCGACATTAAATATAAAATTATTAGATCTCTTCTAACAACCCTTTTTTT